CATTAAATGCAATTACATTTATTCACCAAATATAGTATGGAAACTTACTGTTAACCAGTTAACATGTTTTTACTGTAGCATTTTACAGTCTTTTACTGTTAAAATCACAATCATTTTTACAGTGTAGCTACAAAGTGACAGGAAATGTGAACACTCCTTCATATTTCTCTAAACAGTGCCATTCACAGTGCATTCTGGAATTGTAAATCTGCAAAGGATACATGTTATGCTGCTTTAGAATTTAACCATAGCACACCTTTGATGCCTAAAAAGGCTGCCTTGGTAGGCAGCACACTAGGATTTGAAACATCTTAAGACGGCCCATTTTCAAGAGATAGAAAAAGTATTTGTATGCTCAGATATCCATCATTGAACATTCATGATTTCATTCCTTCTTGATGATCTGATGTTTGGGATGTGAATGAAATTAACACAACAAAGGGATGTATAGCTCAATAACAGATGTCCATAGATATGATCCATACATTGAAATCCACACACCAGAATAGCAGGCAATTAATCGCAGCCAAAAGGTAAAAGAAGAAGTACACAAACACCAGTTTTCACCACAGCTGAACATCTTTGACTGGTTCTGCTAGCTGCCCTGCTCTTTATTGTTGTCTCTTGAGACATTTAGATGGTTTTTCTTTTTCTGTCCTGACTATATACTCCTCTTCCTCCTCCACAGAGTGTCGGGAAGGGCTCCCTGTGGTGCATAGACCCAGAATACAGACAGAATCTCATCCAGGCGCTGAAGAAGACGCCTTACCATCCTTATTCCCAGGTGTTCACCACGCCTCCCACCTCTCCACAGGCATATCAAAGGTAGGCAAGCGGCCCACTGGACACATCGATCCTTAAACCTCACCAATGTCTCTCTCCCCCTCTGTGTTGCTGCTTGTCCCTGTTGGTATCGGTTAGCAGCGGAACCCACGGGCGGCAGCGAGCTGAGCTGAGCGGAGCTGTCAGAGCGAGACCCGGCGTTGGGTTCCGAGCAGCTCCCTCGCCGCTCCATTTGATTTTGATCCGGCTAACAGGTCTGCGTGCTCCCAACCACTCGACTGTGCAAGACAAAATAATTGCTTTACTGTAAAACTCGAACTGGCATATCATGCTTAACAAAGGATATGGAACAAATGGGCGGCCAGCTCAGAGGCTAGAAAGGGAAAATGGAGATGGATGCTTTTAAAGAGATTGAATTAAAGCGGACAGCTCTAGTAAGAGAGATCGGCTGGGTTTCAGGTGTTGCTCAAGCATGGCGAGATGATTAAGGAATGAGGCGGAGAAGGAAGCCGCGCTCAGATGTTTTTGGATAGGGTTTTGTCACGACGGCCTGCATTTCTCCCTCCAGCAGCACATTGCTGCCTCATCAAGGCAGAAATCTCACAGCTCGACAAACAAATGCTGAATAAGGTCGTTCCTTTAAAAAAAAGTACTTTTTTCTCCCAAAATGCATGTCTGCAGGAGGTGAAATTGCACTGTTGGCCAAACTGCACAGAATACAGAGTGAAAATCATCACATACCTGATGAGAGGCTTTTTGAGAGGAATGATAATTGGTGTTATTGTATTCTAAGGTTTCTGATTAAATCTGAAAGATTTTTCTAAACCTTTGCACCTGCTAAATCAGTCTTATTGAATAACCACCCTCAAGTATCAGGTACATGCTTTATATTATTTATATTATTATAGATTGCACAAGTTAGAAGTATTTGGCTAGAAGTTAACATTGAACAAGCTGTTATTATCAATGAAAACATATATATACACATTTAGTCATGTGGGTCAAAGACGAAAAAGGGTTTAAACATAAAAACAATACTGCTTTAAATTGTTGTTGCAACACAATTTTTTTTAAAAAAGTTTTCTTGTATTTAATTGTATTTTTGTTTTTGTTTTTTCTGAGCAAAAAATAAATATCATACATTTTCCCCTGATTTACAGAAGACACCCACTAAAATATCATTCAGTGTAACAATCTTGTCAGGCATATTTACAACAAAAATCTATTTATGACATATTAAAAAACTAATTGTTTACACCCCAAATACTAATTCGTTGTTATTTTTAAATTTTTTAAATTTGCCACTATCCTAGGTTTTGCCCATTCGTCAGTAAGAACTTTTACTCATTTAAAGCACAATAAAAGGTAATATGCTCACTTATACCCACTAAAATGTCATTCAGTGTAACAATCTTGTCAGGCATATTTACAACAAAAATCTATTTATGACATATTAAAAAACTAATTGCTTACACCCCAAATACTAATTCGTTGTTATTTTTTAATTTTTTTAATTTGCCACTATCCTAGGTTTTGCCCATTTGTCAGTAATAATTTTTTACTCATTTAAAACCCAATAAAATGTTATATGCTCACTCTTCTTCTTTTATATATTTTAATATGTACAGGTCAGAATAAGCATGTTGTTTGAATTTTTACATAAATATTGTGTTACACTGAATGACAATGGAACATTATTTCAACCAAATTTTGACATTTTACTTTTCAAAAACTTATTTGAAACCTTAAATGTAGACGCTTTACTCGCATTTAATGTGCTTTCTATGGACATAAAATCACTTTTGGAAATTTCTTTTGATACGGACATCTTAACGTCTTTGACCCATGTATATATATGTAGCCTATATATGTGTATGTATGTGTGTGTGTGTGTGTGTGTATATATATATATATATATATACTGTACATATATATATATAATTTAGTTTTTTTGCTGTAAGGGTATATGCTGTTACATTGCCCTTCTCCATTTTTTATCAGATATATTTTTAATGTACTTTGAAATGGCAACTGTTTTAAAAAATATATTTGCATACATATATTTTCTGTAAGTTTTAGTAATAGTATAGTAAAATTTTGGGCCATTTTCAGTCAAAATATATTAATATATTGTCCAAAGTACATTTAAAAAATAATTGTATTTACCCAAAATATATTTTAAGATTGGAAGTGTATACTTGCTCCTTTGAGTACAAGTTTCATCTAATATATTGTGGCATTTAAAGGTTTAAACAATATACATTTTCAATTTATAAACACACATTGATTGAGCATATATTTAAAATATATTGTGGGCAGAAAAAAATTGTGTATGGGTATATCAAGACATTTTTAGCATTCTAAAGACCCTAGCGCTCAGAGCCGTCCTAAAACTCATGGAATAGTGTTGTGCAAATTGCATTCCGCAGTCATTTTTTGGCTGTGTTTGTGCCGTTACCTGATTTGCATAATTCCTTTAGTGAATCACATCCTAAAACAGCGCAGACAGCATGTGCAAATAAATGACGCTATCAGTGGGCGTAGTTCATTCTTAGTGAATTCCCCTTCAGTATTGAGTGTTGCAGTCGGTTGTGTTCCGCTGATAATGTTGTGTGGGAACAGCACTGGGTTGGTTATTAGCACCAGGTGTTCAAAGACGCGGAGGCCCTGTGGGAAGAGGAGATCACAGAGGACAGTCCCTCTAGCCTACACCTCTTCAAAACAACAGCCTATAACAACCTCACAATACTATTTTCAAAGACACACACTTAAAAATAAACTTTCCAATTAGATCCAGAAAAGGTTTTACAGCCTAATGCCATAGAAGAACCTTTTTAAGGTCCACAAAGAAGTTTTAAATCTCTAGATTTTTCCCAAGTGCTGCTCTAAAGATCTTAGGAGAGTTGAACTTGTTCACAGATTCACAGATTTAAAGATCAGAACTTGATAATCGAACATTAAGAACTTTTTAATCTCCAAAAAACCTTGCAGCCTCAAAAATCTAATGAATCTAATGCGGTGTTTACTTGCAGTGTAAATTGGGTGTGTAAAAATGAACACAAGAGGTACTTCTTTTAGCAAATGCTTTTTTAGAAAATCCGTTACTCTTATACGAACTCTTCCTCATCTAATTAATATTTATAAGTTGTTTATACTATGTTCCACCCTCACATTTCAGATCATTCTGACGGCCCTGGTGTAAGGTGTGTGTGTGAATAAGGTAGCAAAGATAGCACAGTAGTGTTGGGCACACACTGGCTCGGCTTCCACTCTCTCTCAGGCCAGATGGTGAATCTGCGTGTAGCAGTGTGTAATAAAGTGTTTATCTGGCCACTGCGGCTCCCAGGAAGCCGAATGAAGCTTTTTATAGCATTCCTAAGGTTCACAAGAATCAGCTGAGTCATAGACTAACACACACTCCTCTTTTCTGCTCAATTTTTTTTAACGCACCACTCTTTCATCTTTGCTGTTTTTGTAATCACAGCAATAGCGTGGAGATTATTAGATCCTGAGAGTAGTAAGCTGAGGGCTTCAGCTCCTTTTCAGGTTTGTTGGTCAGGTAGACAGATGGGATGAATGCATAGTCTGTTCTGGTGATGTAATCATCAATCCCTGTGGATAGGTATGTGTCCTTATTCACTGTGGAGGGAGGAGCTGATTTAATTTAAAGAAGGGAAAACTTGCAGAAATTATTTTAGGGCATCTTTTTCTAAATATAATAGTTTGATCCATTCTGTAGACACACACGAAGTTCAAAACCCAAAGCGTCTGTCTAATTTTAAGGGGCACCTATTATGCAAAATTCACTTTTACCTGTTTTTTGAACATAAACACCCACCCTTGTACACAATAGACATGGGACGATAACCGGTTTCAAGGTATACCGCGGTTTGGAAAAGTCACGGTTTCAAAACCACTAAAATTTTTCGTTATACCGTTCCTGCGGTATGTGCAGTTTTTTTACGTGTCGTCAAAGACGGAAAGTGCAGGACTCCCTCAGTTGTGTGCAGCGAAGAGCGTAAAGAGTCACACGACCCCTCCCCCTCCGGTTGGTGCGAGGCTGCCAGCAGTCAGTGAGAGTCACCTGTGTGTAGGATGGCCAAAGGATGTGAATCCCTGGAACTTTTTCCCCCGTCGAAAAAGACGAAGTCTGTCGTATGGGAATTTTTCGGGTAATGTAGACTAACCATGTTCCGTACACAATGATGTTCCATACAGACGTTTTAGCACCGATCGCTAAATAAATACTTCCAGGTCGTACATAAACTATATATCTGTGTCATCTTAATTTCTCCCTCTTTCACCCCCGATCAAGACAGAATGCGCAAATGGCTTCAAATCACCACATCGCGTCTGTCTATAAGCGAGCTGCACAGTTGACACAGGAATTGTCACTTGCACAATAGAGGCAGTCACGTCATCACTAAAGTTTATAAATTGCATTACTTTTTAATTCTTGCCTGTGTTTAACCATTCAGCGATCGCGCGCTCTCCTGGAGACCGTGCGCTCATGC